CAAAAACCAAACCAAACAAAAACCATTTCAAGGAAGAGATTGTTTCTGGCAGTTTGTAATCTATGAGCTTGATCAGAATCCATTATACTGAACATGTATACTGCCATATCTGCTCATAAATACCCAAGCTGTGGATACACAAAAGAAGGTTATCAGATGTCTGCAATCCCTTCACGAATGACATGAATTCAACTGAAATGTAGAAATCCTGCAACGTTGGACGTGGACTTGTAAATTTGTCATTGTACGTTTACTTTTAATTAGCAAAAGGAAACCTGCTCCTTTCAACTAACTTTATGAATTCAAAATTGAGCGGTAATTGGCACATACTGGCTACCTTTGGGCTAAAGTAAATTAAAATGTATACTTGTGTTCAATAACACTAAAGTAATTTTCAGCACTTATTAACCTGGCCAATACTGTATACTCTGCTCCTAACTCAGCATCAGGTAATAGTTTGTGTTTGTTAATTATGTACACTATTACTACTTTAGCACTAAAGCCCTATTCATTATGAGGTGAGCATTTAATTCTTATATAGAATATAACCAGTGTCTGGCAACCGAAAGCTATCGTACATATGAAGATTTTTTTAGCCATGCTTTAATTAAATACCTTAATTTCTAGTTTTCAAAATGCTATTAAATGGATGATGAGCAAAAGTGTATTGTTGGCACAGCAATTGCCTTTAGCTAGAGAGAACTATGACACTGAATCTTGGAGTTTGGGACGTGTTTTAAAATTTACTAAATTTATAAACTGTGTATCAGAAATTGTGATGAATATTTCATCACTAGAAAATATAGAAAAGTCACAGGTCATTCTGGCTTGAGAAATACATAACTACATTACATGTGTTTTATTGTACTTTTACTATATTGTGTGGATATACTTGGGATACATTTTTCTAATGTGTGCTGCTGACCTTTACTCTGGCTTGGATTGCCAAAAGGCAGAGTGTTAAATATAAAACACTTAATTAGGACAATAAAAAATAATGTACATTAAGCATCGATACTGCCACTGCTTAGAATAAGCTAATTTGACTGTGTCCTAGGTGTCACTACCAGGGATGTTTGAGTCAGTCAGAAGAAATCTGTCTTGATTAACAGAATGACGGAATGAAGTTCCTTGGGCAATTGCAAATAACCATAAAGCGTCCTTCCATGGCCCTATTTTCGTGTAAAACTAAGCCAGACGTAACCTTTTATCCTTACCTAACACAACTTTCTGGGAAGAATTAGTAGAGATGGGTGCTCCATTAAAGGGTGGCCAGATATCCATGAGGTCAGAGGGCAGGGTGGCTAATTTGTTGCTGGATAGATCCAAGTAGGTAATTTGGAGGAGGTAGGGTATTGCCTCAGTAGGAACATTAGTGATTCTGTTGTTGTGTAGGTCTAGTGTCCTCAGACTGGGCATCTCTTTCAGAGACTCCCAAGGGAATGTGGAGATCATATTTCCATCCAGCCTCAGCTCATGGAGCACTTTGAGGTTGTAGAAACTTCCAGTATCCACAGAGGTTATGGAATTGTAAGTAATCCACAGGTACCGGAGCTCCACCAGGTAGTAAAACGCTTCTGTTGGGATTCGCCGTACCATGGTTTTCTCAACACGAAGTTTGACCGTGTCTACGGGGACGTTGACAGGGATATCAGACATGTCTGGATCATTACAGAGCACAGATCTAAGAAGAAAGATACATAAGTTAGATGGTTTGAACATATCCTAACAGAACTGATTTACAAAGGGTAACTAACAAGATAACCTATTTTTCAATGAGGTAGTAGATGATGTCAACAGATGAGCATTTAGAAAAATTAATGTATTAATTAAGTATGTCTATCTATCCATTTATTTATCCATCCAGGCTCTCTGTTGTGTTGTGGAAAGCCTTTTCTGACATGACTGTAGTCCATCTAAAGGGTACTTCCCAGATGACAAGGTCAGAGTTAATCTGGTGAGTGGAATATCTGGAAAGACTTATATATAAGAGAATGATTTAATGTAATAGCTTTAAATAAAATGTTTAATTTGCATTACATGATAACTAGAAGAAAAATTCCTTTAGTTTGTGGTCGCTATGCCTGTTCTTATTATAGTGGCAGTAATTCTGTACCAGAACATGTGCCATCATACTTGTATATCTTAAGTAGCATAACTGCTGCCACAGTCACTATGTCCCTGTTTTACAACTGACAAATTCCCTTCTAGAAACCAAACCAGGCCAAGGAGTATGAAATAGCATTTCTTTATATGCTGTTATTCGTCATTTTCTCTCCTTTATGTACTTTCTTTATCCAAATTTGTCACACATTTGATTGCAGGGACAGGGATACATTGGGTTTAGCACTAATAAGACTGATTATGCAGCTGTCACTTAGGTCTTTCTCAGGGATAAATGGATTGTTGCCAGGCTAGGGAATTTTCACAGTACACGAGACATAGACTTTACATACCAAATTCAGAGCTAATTTTTTGATTGCTCTGTTATATCCTTCATTTTAACATTCACAGTATTTCAATTCACAATATTCTTTACAGCTCTCACAGAGGTGGGATGGCTGACAAGGTTTTAGCTTTGAAAAGTGTATTTTGTGTAACTTGTAAAGTGCGTCATCTTTACTTTCTGTTGATTTTAAAATGGATGATGCACCAGGTGGTCTGAGTGAATTCGTATGTAAGGTTGTGCTTATTCAAAGTAGCCATTATTTTTAAATAAACCTCTGAAAAGATGTTGAACTTAAAAAAAAAAATAAAGTTTCACAAACTTAGGTCAAGACAATACGGGTAGGATCTTCTTTTACCATGTATTACTTTGTAAGGGAAGTTATAGAGAGGGTGACCTAATTAGGCAAACTTCTACCAAAGGTTTTACAAATGTCATGACATTGTCTTTCATTTTAAAGTTTTAAAGTCGTCTGCCATATGTCAATGTGTTTCTGGTGTTTAGCTAGAGCTGTATTTTGTTGTTTTATTGTGAAGCGCCTTGTGATTTTATCTGTGAAAAGTGCTATATAAATAAATTTTACTTCCTTACTTACTTCCTTACTTAATTTTCCAAATGGCACAAGTTGGCAAGTGTGTATGAATGAAAACACAAAGTACACTTTACCTGGTTCCGGTTCCCTCGGCACGTCCATGGAAGACACAGGTGCACTGGGATGGACAGTATGGATGAGCCACATTGAGGCAGCATAGGAATACGTGCACATAGAGAAGTCGACGCATGATTTTACCGAATGCAACCACAATTCTCACATTGAGAAGAGATCAGGAATGAAGGCATCCAGATTCATTGAGAGCCTGAAGAATTATTCTTCCCAAAAAAGAAATGGAGAATAATGACAAGAGCTTTCAAAGTCCATAGGAGGCGACGTTACTCAGGCTGAGATCTAATTACAGTACAGGTGACCTGTTGGATTGACTGTGTGGGGGAGGGTGGCGAGTTGGATTAGTGGAGGATTTCTTGGGTTTGACAGGGTCACGCAAGCTAGGCAGCAGAGCAGGACCAGACCTTTTGGACAGGGTGCTAATCAGCTAATTCTGGTGAGGTTTCCCCTCACATGATCCAGCCACACCTTTGTTAATCCATTCAGTTCTAAACATCACCATTGCTTTTTAAAATTTAACTTCCACATTTTGCTGAATGTTAATGCCTGCACCTATGTCAAATTCATTGTTAGACACAAGAAAACTTTTTTTTTAATTGCACAGCCCCATTTAGTTATGTCCTTTGTAATACTAGGCACTGTGGTTTGGACTCATTGTTGTCAAACTGCTTCTAAAATAAGACTAGATTTTAGGTGGATGTTTTTGTTTGTTTTTTGCACTTGCATTCTGACGCAAGTCCCTCTGACTCTCAATAAATTCCTTGAATGTAAATATATTATTGAGCTGGAGGCCATATGTAAGATGTGTGAGCGAGTTCTGTCTGGCACTAGGGTGCAAAGTGTAATCTTGGATGTGATTTATTACCTGACTGGGTGAACCAGTGGCTTAGGAGAGGGGGCCAAATTCAACTTGGCTGTTGATGACAGGTCTACAGTAGTGTATTCCTTTCATATTTTCTGCACAAGTTTGTTTATCATGAGCACACACATCTTCTGCTCCTATAGCTAATTTTTAAAAGGTTGACTTGAACACATCAATGCATGTTAGAGTATTTTCTACCTAGCATTCATTATGTTGATTTAATTAAAATATTACCCTGAACATTACCCTAAAGATAATCCATCTTGATAGCGTAGCCAGTAATGTCATACCTGTCATTTTATTTTTTAATTAAATGTGACTTTACAAACACAACTTTGCAATTCGACCTCTTCATTTTTGTTCTTTAGTCTTCGATAGAAAATTATAGAAATTCTGTATCTTCATGACCACCAAAATCAAATCACCTGTTCCTAGGCTTAAACTTTGTAAATGAAATTTGAATCATCAGTCTGTTCATTTAGATACAGACACAAACGTACGGTGTAAAATGGGCAAAAACATAACCTTAGTAGGGAGTAAAAGTGTCATAAGTATAGCCCTATAGTCAACATAGATTTGAACATAAATTGGATTATTTTTTCTTCTTCTAAATGTACCTCTTTTGATCCTTGTGTCCAATGATTCTTGTATTCAAATATACTGTATCAGGCCACTAGTGCTTGAAAGTGCTTCATGATCTTACTCAGGCAGGTATAATACAGTTAAGTATACATCTCAATATTTGGCTGCCGACTCTTATTTAGAATGACTAAGAGGAAAGGGAGCCATCTAGTGGTATGAGGCTGTTACTGAGGGTACTTCCTTGTGATAAACATCAATATCCTTCTCTTAAAATAACAATCCATCTCTTGACAATCCACTCCTGCTGCCTGACCATATTTCACAACTCACCTGACAGTTGAGATTGGCTCATACATTAGCTATTACAAATCCTATAATTCCACCAGCAGGACTACTAAATATTTTTGACTAAACCTCAAATCAAAATGCACACAAGACACATCAAATATTTATTAACAAGTACACAAGTGATTTTTATTAATGCAAGCAAATTTGATCATACAGTTCAAATAAGCCACTTCAAGCTGTTGGCACATGAATGTACAAAACATATTCAATTTAAAGCCTGCTACTAAGCATTCGTAGTGAAAGTACAAAAGACTAATACGAGGAAAAAGCTGAAAGTGTTTTTTCAGATCATAAGCAATGTTGGTACAGGTATTAGTTTCAAGACATGGTTGAGAGCTCATCACAAACTAAATAGACACAACTCAAAGACTACAGTCTCTAATATCAGTAGCATAACGCGGTAAGCATGGGAAGTTTAGTACTGCACATATAAACAAAGGGTTGATCCAGCAAGACAGTCAGAAGTGTAAAAATAAAGAAGTGAAGTAAAGTAACTTTTGAGTCAATAAGACTATATTAATGCATGTCCATGCCACAAAAAACATCTAAATTCACAGTCTTTACTAACAGTACAGTTATCCCAACTTTTAGTTGAACACCAATGCGCTTACATCTAGAGAGAGCACAGAAATGGTCAAATAAGTGCATGAAACTAGCTTTTAGAAATACTGACAAAATAAATTTTGCCAGACAATGAACTGACAGACAACATATGTAGTTGTATGGCATCAGGATGTGTAAGCAATACAGTTACTGCCATGAACAACAATTACTGTGACACACACTTTTCTCACATCTGATAATTCCATCAAGGAGTGCCATTACAACTTTTCATTGTCAGGGTTTCTTTTCAGTTGAGACTCTTCTTATTCTCACAGGAATTGTCCTTAAATGTCAGTGCTTAACATATAGGTATGCTTTGATATATCAGTATATACAGTGCAGAGTTCTGCAACAACAGGAGTTTAGTATTTATAAAGTTCCACTTTAAGAAACTAAAAAAGGTGTTATGAAAGCATGTTTGCATGTGCTTTTGTGGCTTGTGATTCAAAGACGATAGAATCATTCACAGTCCTAAAATACATGTAATTGGCAAGATTATCAGAAAATAACCTACAAGTTATTTTTAATTGACTAGTCGCATCATTGTTTCCTGTTAAACAGGCTTGGCACATCTAGCAAATATTTGTTTTACTCTAATGATTTGGTATTTATTAATGTTGTCTTGCTATTGTATAACTTCAAATAGGAAAGCATTTTTAATCCCTGGGAATACTGGTATGACAAAGGCTTACAATGCTTCATGGTTGCGTTGTGAGATTTAAAATATTTTCATAACTAACCACCCATTCACATACAGTACATAGTTCTTGTACATGAAATCTCCAGACACACGACATGAGAAAATGTGCTTGAAAACCCTTTTAAGCCCCAGTTGACCCCCTCGGAAATCAGTAAAAAATAAATTATGCATGAGAGCAAAATGACACGTAGCATCAAATAAAAACTGAAGGAAAAGATAAACAATTGTTCGCAAATTTTTCCAAGTAAAAAAAGCTGACATACTACTGCTACTTCTGATTCTACAAACTGCACTAAAACTACTATCAACACTAAACAACTTGTATCAAGAATAATATAACTGCCATACTGATAATCATAACACCATCCATGAGAGAGGTAAAGGGGCTTTTTTTCATCTGAAATGCTGTTTGTGACTGAGGAGGTTTGTGTGACGTCCCCCCCCCAGACCACATTGTCATATGACGCACCAGTGACATCAGCGGTGGCGAGGGCCCTAGGCGCCATCCGCCCCCCCTCGGGAGGGGATGGTAGAGAGAGAGATAGAAATACAGAAAGACAGATGAGAGAGAGAGAGGGAGAGAGGCCGGAGTGGCAGGGCCAGGCCTCACGCTGGTCTTATGTGTAGGCGTTGAGACGCTCCTTGGAGCGAGTGGAGTGGATGTCATGAAGCTCCTGCTCCTCCTTTGACTTGATGTCCTCGTACTTCTGCATTCGGCAGGCATCTTTCACATAGGCCCAGTTGGCAGACAGCACCATCAAGTAGTGGATCTGTGAGATGTGAGGAAAATGTGTAAAGTGAGACAAAAATACAAAGATAGTTTTGAAAAATCCCATAAGGATCTGTCTTCTGTGATTTGTGTTCATATTTGTTTGGTCAAATTTAATTGTAAAAATATTGCAATTTTCAGAATAAAAATAACCTAAATGGGAATCATGGGATGTGCTATATTCCTTTGCATTTCGTTAGAATATAATGTAGATTTTATTATTCCTTTGTCTGTTTTATTCTCTCTTGTGGCTGCAAATGAACAACCTGTTAACTTAAAATGCGTTGAATAGTAAAGCTTGTTTGGATAGACTGGCCCTGTCAAATTAAGGAGGGAATTTCTAAAGGACCAGCAGGTGGCAGCATAATGCTAAATGTAGTCTTTGACTTGCGTTACCATGGCAGCTAAGGTATAATGAATGTATTGTAGTTTAATGACCAAGGTTGTAACAGCTTCTCTTTTCACACAGAATGACAGTTTCATAGCAGCATGGCTCTTTGTTTCTGATATGCAGAAAGACCAATTAGGCACCATTCTTTCCCTCAGGGTCACTTGTTGAGTCTAATGCATTTTTTTAGCACTGATTGTGTTTTTGGCTTTGAAGCTTTTGAGGGCAGCTCATTATTGGGATCCATTAGTGTATCTGTAATATTTTTTTCCGCCCATCAGCTGGGGGGAAAAATGAGGATGTGGGGGAAAAGAGTCCTGCCACAATTTACAACATCATCCCTGAATAGCACGTACTTTCTGTTTCTCAGAAAATGGCTCCTCACAAATTACTGAGTGATGTTTGCAACAATCTCTTAGCCTTTCTTCTCCCTGTTTCCATGACAACGACGTGACATGCCTGGCGCCTCCGAAAGAGGGAGGGAGACAAACCCTGTCTTTTTCACTGCGCCAAAATGCCTTCTCTTCCATCTACAGCTATTCTCTCACATGCAAACACAACACAGGCTAGCTATGAACTGGCAACAATAAAACACAGCTATTTTCCCAGCTACAGTATTTCCCCACAGTTCCTTTTATTTTCAAATACAGTTAACTCCTACCACTGCAAAACAAAATTTGTCTGCCTTCACGCAGAAAACTCTATGAGATACAACATTAGTTAAACACAGAAATAGGTTTTGTTTTGTGGTTGAGATTTAAATATTTTGTTATATATTTATTTTTCATCAGAGAGAGAGAGAGAGAGAGAGAGAATGAGAGAGATTTGTAAGTTTTATTGGTGTCTCACCATAGCGATAACAGCAGCTCCTGCTCCAGCGAGGGCACAGATGAACAGGTGGAATGTCATGTCCAGCTGGAGCAAAAACAAATCACAACACATATTACTCTTCAAGGCATCTTCACCAAGCTAGACCCTGCTCAAAGATGCACTTGCAAACATTCTGTTTTACATTCGTAAACCCTTTTGATTATTTTATAAGCAGTATGTAATTTTTGTGCTTCAACTTATCCTATAACTTATCATTTAACGTCGGTGATATAGGTCTGTTTATTTTTTCAGTGTGATGTAGAATGTGGTTTTTGAGGTGCCTTTAGACTTTTTCATGTACCACTAAGCAAGATTCCAGATTTTAGCAGTCAATGTAGATTCTGTTTATATGGTGTTACTCAGATTATTCACATTATTTACACAACTAATGCGTGTGTTTCTGTCAGGAAGCACGCTATGTTCCATCACACTGTAAGCTGTCAAGGAAACAGATCACTTACAGCTATCTGGTGCATCTAATGCCTTTTACTATTTGCTTCTGAACAGCTCCACCAGAGCAACTAAATAAAATGCCTTGTTTAAGGGCACCTAGGCAGTGGTTTTGTGGTTGAAGTAGTGTATGTTTGGTGTGTCATTGTGGCTGGTGGTGAGCAGCCTGATATCATTTGAATTAGTGTTACGTGTCCCCACTGTTCTGTCAAGCTGTTGTAGGCATTCAAACTGCTCATAATCATGTTTCTAATGCATGCATGATTTTCCTTATGTTGAAAACGTATCTAGCATGCATTTAGTGCCTTCATTGATGATTGATGATTGATTGATTAAAGTCATTTTTAACATTGTTTGATGTTACTTTCACCTTACCTCATTGGATTCACACATCTTGTAGAACTTCTCTGATCCAGCACACACTGTTTTTGCTTCAGCAATTGGCACAATACCTGAAATAAAGCATGTACAATTACACTATTATAATACAGACTTCACAATGTACACTGTTCACATTGTATAGTATACACCTCTAATATGATGTGGCACCACAAATGGTTGTTGACACGGAGGCAATAGAATCCTTGGCTTCCGGTGGCTAATGGACTGAAAGAGGTGGCAATAATTCAAAATAATGAGCCATATAAGCTACTGATATAGTGAACCTCTGAACCAGCTTAGCATAATGTTATTCTGGATCATTAAATTTTTCAGGTAAGTAATTTTAAGGGAGAAACAGTGAGTCATTGTTAATAGGGAATATCACCTCCAAACTGGGTCATTTACACTTTTTAATTTCTGAAGTGGCTTATTTAACATATTAATTTCATACAATGCCAAATTAAAAATATGAAGTGTGAAATTTAACAGATCATTAGACTCCTGTGCAGTCGGTGTGTTCTGTTATACATGTATGTGCAATTATAATATAATTTTGCACACCATCAGTTATACATACATTATCCATCCAAACTTTAAAGAAGAAAACTATGAGCTATAATTATTAAATAAACTTTAAATTCTGCTTGGTGAGTGAAGAACAATCTTTCCAAAAAGTGAAGATAAAAGCAGTAATTTAGACTGTACAACATAGATGTGAGAGTTATTCAGCAGTAGAAGCCATAGAGATCTATAAAAGTGACATCTGAGCAGTGGGCGGTTAGGAAATGGAGCCAGAATATTAATCTTTACCATACTGGCGTGGGTCCAGGCAGAGTGTGGCTCCCTCGAGCACGGTAGTGTTTTGGCAAATATTCCAGATGTTGAAATAGATAAAGACTGGGAGGGAAGTAAAAGCAGTCACTCCGAGCCAAGCCAGCATGAAGATGTATGTCAGCATGATGAACTGCAAAGGCAACAGAGGAACACAGATCACATCTGGGTGCTGTTTTCGATTAACAAAGTGAAATGATTGCACATTAGACTGACTACTTTGGCTGGTGTTAACAAGTGACCCTTTAGGTTACAAGCCACCACTTTCCCATTTCTACCAAAAAAGTCTTGTTTTGGTTTAGATTTCCATGGGCACAATATTATAACACGCTAACTTAATGACCACAAATGCCACAGCATAGCTCATTTCCTTTGCATCCCTGTGGAGCTTCAGATTTGCTAAGCAATTACATCCCAGAGATAATCTTGTTAGGACATTTGCAGGCTCTCTGATCCGTGTAAGAGTTCTCCTGATTTTTTTTTATTGTCATTATGGCAGTATAATAAAGTTATTGAGACGTTTTCAATGTATTTTAGAGCACTTCAGATGTACAGTATTGTATCACGAACACATTTTTGAGATACTGTACACAAACACATGTAAATCATCATCAGGCAAATCATTTAGTTAACAGAAGCATTACATGTTTTGCTGACTGATTTGTTGTGCTTGCTCCATCCCTACATATACTGCTTATGAAGTTGATTTTTGAAAATTAGCTAAAGTAATAATCCATACTATATGATGACCATTTGACGTAACCCAATAAAAATTCAACCTTTACCAATACAAGACCAATACAAGCTAGACACATAGCATGAGCATTAGTGCCACCATGGCTGAAAAAAAGTTTAATTTCAGGACCTTCACTTACTCAACCTTCGAGGGTAACTCCTTGGGAAATGTCCTGACATTAAGACTGTTTGATTACCAACTGACTCCTGAACGTGCAACAGCAAAGGAGGCTTATATACATTAGTAAATGTTACAATAGCAATAAATAGTAAAAGAAAAGAAAGAATTTCTGATTCTGATATAACGCAGCCAAAATGTAAGCTAATTTTAACAGTTAATATGCACTAAAATGTTAGTCTTACCCAAGCGCTGACACAGCGTCCACAGGTGGTGATCTTGAAGTCTCCATACAGGTCTTTAATTGCTCCACTGGTGAAAAAGCCCTCCACCATCAGCAGGATGCCATAGACGAAGAAAGCTGAAGCAATGCCGTAGATCACATACTTGATAATGTCAATCCTAGAGAATGAATAGAGAACGACTGAAAACATCCACAACACTATGTTACACATTGTTCTTGAAAATATAACAAGTCTTTAAGTGAAATTGAAGATTTTATTTTGGATCTAGTAATTTTAGTTTCTCTTTTTGCTTTATAAACATACATAATACACATGCCATATTGTTCTAAAACAAAAATCTAATTTGGAGATTTGGAAAGTGTGGAAAATGCAGGCTGTGTAAAAGAGCATATATTAAATTTGTGTTTTTTCCCCCCTTTGTGGGTACACAAATTGCCAATTCTTTAGGGTTAATGTTTTCTTTAGCAACTAAGTGACCCTTAAACGCAATGTGATCCATTTCTACTCACATGGTGAAGACGTCCAGTGCATCCACAGGGCTCCGTACCACCTCGAAGTAGTTCTGGAGGATGGTTACAGTGCCAGACAGGGCCTCATGTCCGCAGCCGCAGAACAGAGCCACGCCCGCATACAGCAAGATGGTGGCTATAAGAGATGGGTATGGGATACCACCCAGGCATTTGATGCAGCATTCAAGGCATCCTAAAGACACACAGAGAGATCAAAAAAGTCAACTATTAGTCAACGGAGACAGAAAAGTTAAGTTTAACTTCTCAAAGAAAATCCAGGATGAGTGAAAATTTCTGTCTGGCGCACTGTAACACAAAGTAAGACAGGATTCTTATGATTTTGCTGAAATTTTAATAATTCAACAAAACTTTGCCAATGGGAGAATGCATTTGCATGTTGTACACTGTACTGCCATTTACTTTTTGAAAATCTTAAACATTCAAACCACAGTTGGGAGGCCGCCATGCATGCATGCACGGTGGAACAAAATACAACATCTTGACAAAGCTGGACTACTGTACTCTTATCCCTGATATATGGGCAGCTGATTTCTTTATGCATCAAGTGTCCGAGCATTCAAAGCCACAAAATGAAGTAAGATATTTGATGGCCACTTCCACCTTATCTAAGCAGTGAGCTGGCATCACATTTTTTCCATGTATTCCGGTTTCTGCAGCAGATTTGTTTTTTATCAGCTTTACAGAGGATGCTGACATTTTATTCTAAAACCCAGCCTGAGCTTTACATAGTCTTCCTGACCTTTAACCCTATTCTTCTTTGCTCGGATTCCTGTTACTGGGGGCCTTTAAGGTGACTAATAACTGCATGGCTCCAACTTCAATCTCCTCTTCACACAGATTGCTCTCAGCTGAGTCTGTAAATACTTGTGCACACGAGTGTGCCTCTATGAATCACTTAGAGTTATGAGTCTCCCTGTCGTGCTTGTCTGTTAGTGTGTGTATGTTTTGGGGTACAGAGCCAGTCATTTGTCAGAGTAACAACAGCAGAAGTGGAGTTTATTTCCTTTGGACTTAAGGAATAAAACCAGACTATATAGGGTCTTGCAATGCAATGCAGTATATTAACTGCACAGACACATTTTTCCAAAAAGCCCTGCCCATTCTGAATCTATTTGTAACTCTTCATTGATTTAAATCTGTAGTACAATGGAGAGCTGATTACTAAATATGCATCTGAAGTCCAAATCAATACAGGCATATAAAATGTGCAAATGTAATCCCATGTTCATATAAATGGAAAGTTCCTCTTGATCAGTTACATCACCATCATGGCCCATGATTTAATTCATCTGCATTCACGCTGCTGTCCTCATCAGTTTTCATCGTCAGTTGCACAGATGTTTAAAGATTTGTTCATCAAGGATGTTTTTAGCACCGTCTCTGTTATGGTTATCTTGCTATATCTTCACCTGCATTACAAAGCAGGAGCTGGAGCAAATATCCTTCCTCCTCAACTCTCTGCTTCTGACTCTGATCCAAACCTGAGTGGAATAACAAGTAGCTGGTCCGCCTGCTGGGCTCAGACGCTTGGTGCAGCTCCGACCCTCACACAGGCTTCCCTAGATTATCCGCATCCTTGCTGATGTAATCCAGTGCTAGACTGTAGAATGTCTTTTCTGCCTTCCTACTTTATTTTTAACCTCTTTTGTCCTGGAAAGGTTTGCTGAGAATGTACGTATTTCCCCTTTGAATCCAGTCAGGTCGGCTACAGTTTTGAGAAATATAAATAGCTCAATTGATTGAGATAAGCCTCTGTTTGTGGATGTTTTCTGGGCTCAGTTGTGCAAAGTTCAAAATTTGACCAGTTTATGCTCAAGTAGATGGTTTAAACAGGAGGTACATGTCTGGGTAGATTGGTTTTCTGAAGATTTTAATCTAAAGGAACAGGTTAAGACCAATTGATCCTGGATCATCACTGCCTTGGTATTTCTCAAACCCACCCACTTTCCCAGCCCTGGAGAGTTTGACATTAGCTGGGTGTGGACATCAAATTCAGGAGACACCTCACCTTTGGTGCCTTTTAGACTATCTGGTATTAACTGTGACATCTGACATCCACTCCCAGGCGGTTTCACACCAATTCACACCTTAATTCATGTAAGTCTGTCAACCTGTGGTAGGTTTAAATTGCCTGGACTCCCTATCTAGGGAGCCTGTAACTGATTCTGCCTCTTCAATTTTACAATTTAAGTTCAATGGATAGTTTTGTTTTTTATACTCTTAAGTTAAACTATCAATCCCCCTGTTAAAATAATTAAGGTCAAATTATTAATTGCATTATTATTTTGTCATTAACTCTGATGTCTCATCTTGACTTGCTTTGTCAAACAGTAGTTAGTTGTTTCCCAGACACCTCCCATAGACTATGTCACCACCTCTTCGATAGAGTTACCTTATCTTTTAGGAAGCAGTCAGTGACAGGATGTATTGATGTGATAGCGTTTTCTGACAAGATGAGAGGGCGCTATCACATTTACCCTCCATGCTCTGAGTCAGTGTGCCTGATTTAACTGAACTGTTCAATCATTTTAAATACTCAGTAAGACAACTAAATAACTAATTAGATTGTTACTGTAGATTGTTATTTTTCCCATAATGTTATATGTGAGCAAAACATTTGTAAAAGATCAGTATTTATCTTCAGTTGTACTCAAAATAGACTTTTTATTTGCTGAGTAAGATACAAATTTAAATTAAAGACCGTCTTATAGAAACCACCTGGAGTGGGAGCAGTTATTACAACATTGCGTGGTGAGCAAACCGTTTTCATTTTTAGAGAATATTCATGTAGTCGTTCTTTTACCCACCTTTGAGAAATACTGGTTAAATTTTGTGTTGTAGATGTTCAGGGGCCCGTGTTTTCACATGAAGGAAGATGAGCAGTAATATAAATGATTTATGTCACGGCCTCAATCAAGGTTTATTACCTCTGCATTATTTACATTTCTGCACACAGATTAGACAAGCTGGATCCTGCATCTTGCTGTTCTTCATTTTAAATATATTTTACATATATTTATATTTTTCCCTTATTGGGTATCGCCACTGCTTACAGACCAAATAACATGTCTGGCCACTGGTTTACATTATAATAGTTGGCAAGATACAACGCAATGTTTGTGACTCGACTGAAAAGCAGTTTTGTTTCCATGGAAACAGTTGCAGATGAAGTTACAGGGTAAAATGGGAGCATTAGTGAGTGGATGTAACCAGAGTGATGTTTTATTGATGGTGTGTTTTTATTTTGTGGACGGGAAATTCCTCGGATCCAGTAAAGAAAGGTATGTTAGAAAATGGAAATTATGAGTGACCAGGTCAAATGCAGGTTAAAATTACTACTGAATAGTAGGTTTTACATGATAGTCTAACTGAAACAACAGTCTGGGCATCCAGAACTCTTGAGGATAACATTAAAATTATGACTGGACCATTGCTTTATGACTGTTGTGATACATTGTTTGATTAGCTGTGATTAATTTCTCAAGTTCTGATACCAAGGGATATATGTCCTCACTGGATTAAACAAAACCTCCTCTCATACCAGCACGTCCTCTCATTTCCTCTCTGTAACTCTTCATTGATCTTAACTAACTGCAGATGGAATCAGTGAAAAATGGCAAGTGGTGGTGCAAACTGACTCAAAGAGCTACTGGATGCTTGATCCATAATTTAGCAGCGGCACAGTGCAGCAGAGCACAAGCCTCTCACATTCATTATTCATGATTTCTGCTTAGCCCAACATTACCTGCAATGAAAATTAAAGATCCCCCTGCTTGATGAGAAGTTGCGAGTATTTGAATTGATCTTGCTCACAGGTGTAGTCCTGCTTGTCTTTTGAAGTACAGACCAACAGCAAGCCAAATTCTGAATTTGGCGTTATTGACATTGGCTAAGATGATTTTAAATGGACCAATAGAAGCAAAAACGAATCTCATGTGTGACAGGAGGCAATTCTAGAATTTTGGATATTGTACGTTATTGTTTTTATGGCAGAATAGACATGGCTTACTAAATTGCTGTATTCTATTTGACCTGGAGGCTATTCCCAAAGTGTTGGGTTAAGCATTAGGTTAAAAATCTTTAAAAATAGATATTTATTTTTAGGATTGAAATGCTTTTTGTATCCCATCTGTCTCTGAGAGGGACAGAACTATTACTATGATATTCTTCCCACTGATTGTTAATCAAATACATTTCACTTGCCAAAATAGAAAATCTGGCAACACGAGGATTAGTCTAATGAATTTTGAACAAAGAGACAGGATTTCAGGAGGTGGTGGGGTTTTAAATATTTTATCCTACACACAAAAAAGCCTCTGTTTGAAAAAGCAACAAAAAAAGTGAAGCCTACGTGACCCCAAACACTGTGGTCCAATAAACAGAAGGCTTCTCTCTAATACAAAGAGAAAGGATGACCCCCTCCCAAGGCCCCTCCCACCTCCTACTTCTCCTCCATCTGTCAGTGTCATATCCGACAGGCAAAAGGGACACAAACACACACACTCTCAGTGACCAGTAAATGTTCACATGAGGGATGAGGTTATTGTTAAATAATGCTTAGAGCTAATGATGCCCTTAAATGAAAACATGACGCTAACATCCAGGAGACAGTTGGGGTTGATTAACAAAGGATTTGCTGCCCTTTTTTTAAGCCTCTAATGAGTTAGATATTGTTTTTTCACACTGATAATTACAATATTACAATATTTTTCAAGAATCCTTGTCTTACTTTTCTAAAGTTCATCAGTTGCCTTGATGCTTAGATTTGTTTTTTTTAACTGGTTTTCACCAGATCATAACAGGTCTGGTCTAGCAAATACAGTAGTGATTGATGCAGTTAATGTACTGATATATATATATATATACACACACAGATGTGTGTGTGTGTGTGTGTCCCATTTCACACACACACACACACATACAGAAACACCTGTTTACAGGATCCCGTCAGAGGAGAGACTGTATTTGATTCTAAATAAGTCTCACCTTTAAATAATTCCAACATTTATTTCACTCACTGACACTTCTTTCAAGCTGAAAGCATATCTCTATCCTTAACAATTGCTTTATAAGTGCACATAATACACTTCCAAAATAGGTTTTTTGGTTACTTTGGAGACTTCTGTCTTTTGAGACACATGCAGGCTGAGCATTTCATCATCTTCTCTAAAG